GAACAACAATTGGGGCAAGACTTTGCCAATACATGTGGCATACACTTCCTGTCATTGAATAATCAGATATGATTGTGGGCCCCTTTTTCTAGTTTGCAATAAACTGGAGTCTGACTGGGCAAACAACAAGGCTGAAAATAAGAGGAAGGATAAAACATAGTGGTATTTCTCAAATTTAATAATAGGGAACAAAAAGACCAGAGGTCTGGAACTGTATGAGAGTGGGAAGAGATTGAGGCAAAGGATGAGAACAAATTGAGAGGAAAACAAAAGTAGCAAACCCCTCCGCTTTTGTATATTGCATTTCTCATAATAGAGAACAAAAAGACCAGAAGTCCAGAACTATATGTGAGAAGAAAGAGATTCAAGCAAAGGATAGGAACAAACTGAGAGGAAAACAAAAGTAGCTAAATCCTCTGCTTTTGTATGTTGCATTTCTCATAGTTTTGTGGGCTTTCATATTTGTCAAGGGCACCAACAAACAACAAATAAGTAAATCCTAGAGATCTTTCTGTTATTAAGATGCATATAAATGTAGTTATTCATCAGTAGCCAAATAGAAATAAACTGGGGGGAAAGGTATGGCACCCCACCCCCAATGATTAACAGTTGGAAGTTTGCAGGCTCCACTTTCCTCATTGTATATAGCAAACAAATTCTTACAGCACAGCGTTGCATTATTCATATGTTCTCAGTTAATGTGGCCTGAACATAGATTGAGAGAGAGTGAAGAAATTATGACTTACATAGGTTCGTCAATCAATGTCTGCATAGGCTGTTCTGTGAAAGAGAGGTTATCGTAGTTTAGGAACACCTGAGAAACAATCTCCCCAATGATTATTTCACCTGTCTTATAAAAGTTATGAGGAATAGGGAGAGGATCATCATATATGCTGCAGTTAATAGAATGTGTCTTGGATGCAGTTTGACACAACAGTGCAAGCAGCAACATGACCACTAGCATGATGCTGTTGAGAAAACTTTGCCAACCAACATAGGTTACCATGTTTCATATGTGACTATTTTCAGTTTTGTTAACAGCTTCCCTCGAATGGTGGTAGGTAGTCATACTGCACTGATTTACAGCTTAGCATCTTAGGAAGTCTGTGCACTGTATCTTGGTCTTATATTTAATTATCGCTCTTTATTCATTAGTATCTCTGAGCAGTATATTCTTCTCGCTTTTCGCTATAAGGCTGATTGAATTAAAACCTTCATGAATGCCTGTTTCAGATAGAGAAATTGTTGTGCAAGCAAAAATAAAAGAGTATCCCTGAAAAATCATAATGACTGTATATATATATAAAATTAAGATTCATTATTATGAGACAGCTTTATGATGCAAAAGGTCCAATTTTCCACTGTAAAGTGGGATATTAACTGGGCAAGGAGGAAGGATAGTGACTAGGGAAACTCCCTGGGAATTATTTGGGGTTAAAAATCATGGCAGAATCAGCTGATGGAAAACATAACTGAACATAAAAAGGGGAACGGATCATACAGAGAATGACACAGTCCTGCCTATGCCTGGATCCACTTCTCAAAAACACAAGGTTTTATATCTTCTTTTTTCAGATGCTGGATGTTCAGATTGCTAATTACTTCTCTCTGTCTGTTGTGTAAAAGGATTGAGACTAGTGATTCTGAGGAAGATAGCTGTGATTAGAATTTCCCCAGAGGGATTATGTCCTTCAAAGTTGAATCATGCTTGACAAAAAATTATTAGGATTTCCCCTCCAGCATTGTGTACAGCTCCACTACCCAATCTAGGACTGTGGATCAGTCCAGACATAACCTGGTCCTACCTGGTGGGGACACAACCCAAATCCAAGCTTGACTTAGTCTGGGGGTGGGACTAATAGTTAAATCGATTTTTTTAAGACACATAAAAACAAAGCTGGTGGGGCAGGGGGGAAGACAACATTGCATTTCGTCCTTTCATATCTTACCACACTGAGGACAGGGGGATTCTGTAAGCATCTTCCCCGAGCAGAAGTCATTTGCAAATGGGGGGAAGACAACATTGTATTTCGTCCTTTCATATCTTACCACACTGAGGATGGGGATTCTGTAAGCATCCTCCCTGAGCAGAAGTCATTTGCAAAGGAGCACACGACAGCTCACAGGATTGATTCTTCTTTCCACCAGCTGGTGAGCGGAGGATTCAATCCTTCTGGGGTCTGGGCTTCCTGCTCTATTCTTCCAACCTGTTGTTTCATCTGCAGACAGCCTTGGATAATTCCAGGTGGCTTGATCTGATCGGGGGGGGGGGTGTGTCTTTAACCAACTTGGATGGAGAACCTCGTGCAAAGCCAGGAAGGTGGCAATAACATTTCTCTTGGACCAGAGTTAAGTTCACATATACAGCTCACACATACCGGTATTTGGCGTAACTTGAAGGTCTGTCCTTAAATCAGGGGTTGCCAAAGTGGTACCTGTGAGCTCATGAAAAGTTGTAATAAATATCTCCTAAAGTAAGCCACAATGCAAATATTATCTTAAAAGAAATCTACTGCTCAGTCCCTGGTTATACAGGTATGACCTCTTTTTCACTAATTAGGCACCTTTCAATATATTCACAGTCCATTGGATGCCAGGGCTGGACACCCACCATCCGACCTGTTCTGAGCAGAGGAGAGACACAGGGTGCTATTCTTTCTCGGTATTGAAATGGTTCCCACCCACATTGATTGAGAGGAGGGGTATATGTGCACTATTTTGTGGTCGTCTTTCTTCTTCTTTCTTGTTCTTTCAGAGGAGGCAATTGATGATGATGATTATGTTATACGCTTACATTAGCCATTAAAAAAATTTCTCACACTATGGCAGCCATTTCTTTTTAATTTCACACACATCAGCCATTTTGTAACTTGTAGCTTATTAGGCAATGCAGGTAAAGGTAAAGGTAAAGGTAAAGGTAAAGGGACCCCTGACCACTAGGTCCAGTCGTGGCTGACTCTGGGGTTGCGGCGCTCATCTCGCTTTATTGGCAGAGGGAGCCAGCATACAGCTTCCGGGTCATGTGGCCAGAATGACTAAGCCGCTTCTGGCGAACCAGAGTAGTGCACAGAAAAACCGTTTACCTTCCTGCTGGAGCGGTACCTATTTATCTACTTGCACTTTGACGTGCTTTCGAACTGCTAGGATGGCAGGAGCAGGGACCGAGCAACGGCAATGCAGGTACTCCTAGCCAAAGAAGACTCTAATGACAAAAAATGTATCAAAGAGGTACCGACTTACACATTTAGAGGGAGTGCAACCTGTCCCGAATGGGCAACCAGCATATCTTTCAAAAATAGAAAGCACCATGCTCCAAAAATTTTAAAGATTCCTCCCAATGGCTCCAGGCAAATGTTAAATAACACCGGGGGGGGGGTCCCCAAAGAGCCAGGGGGTTGGAGAACACTTTCCTAGTATTATTCTGTGAAGTCAGCCATAAAGGAGCACAGCTACTGTAGTCTAGCATCTCTGGTAGGCACCCCAATGAGTTAAATCTAGGGCAGGCTTCCTCGGACCTCCAGATGTTTTGAAATTACAATTACCAGCATCCACTGGTCCTGCTAGCTAGGGATATTGTAGGCCAAAAACATCTGAAGGGCCAAGGTTGAGGAAGCCTGATCTAGGAGGATACCAATAAGTGAAAAGCTGCTGAGAGATTAAGGAAGAGTAACATGTTGACATTCCTACCATCCTTCTATTGATAAAAGTGACCCACCGCGTCAATAAATTCTGATTCGATCCCCAAACAAAGCCTAAATCCAGATGGAAGTGGATTCAAATAATCAATGTAATTCAGGAACAAGTGAAGTTTCTCTCCCTCTCAATCACCTCACCCCCCCCCCAGCGCAAAAAAGGTATTTCGGAAACTGGCCAGTAGATGTTAAACACCATTTGGTCAAGGATGATCTTTTTAGGAATGGGTTACACCTAACTAACCCATTCCAATTGGTTTAGCTAGTCAGGAAGGTAAAATGTCCAGAAGGAATGTGTTCAGATGCATCACTACATGTCTCATTTCCACATTAGGCTGCACCATCTGGAAATGATCCCTTAACTCTAGGCCAGGTACAGCACTGGAAACCTCAATGAGATTTGCAGAGATGTTTGCACCATTGCTAGTAATCTCATGGGAAATATCAGAAAACCTTCTCCTACCCTCCTCCTTCAATATATATAAATATAAAAGGAGATGCACATATATATTTCATTTCATTTTCCTTGTGAGTTGTTCCCTGTTGTTCAGCTCAGGCCTCAGCACAATGATGTAACATTTTGGGGAAAAGATGCAACCCAGTAACCCAGCACTTGATGATAAGATGGAGAAGATCTCCACAGCCACCATATATTTTCCTTTGGTGCTCAGGTAGGTTGGAATAAAGGATAACCACACACTGCAAAACACCAACATGCTGAAAGTGATGAATTTGGCCTCATTGAAGCTGTCAGGTAACTTCCTGGCAAGAAAAGCCACAATGAAGCTGATTATGGCCAGGGAACCCATATAGCTCAAGACACAATAAAGCATGGAAACAGAACCCTCCTTACATTCCAGTATGATTTCACCTTTCACTGAATGTACATCTCTACCTGGGAATGGAGGAGCAGAACTTAACCAAAGAGTACAAATGGCAGCCTGAATAAAAGAGCAGGAGAGAACAATAGAATTAGCCAGTCTTTTCCCCACCCATTTCCTCATCCTGGATCCTGGTTTTGTTCCCATAAATGCCACAACCACAGTGATGGTCTTTGCCAACACAGAAGAAAGGGCCACAGAGAAGACAATGCCAAAAGTGGTTTGACGTAGCAGGCAGGTTGCTTTTCCAGGTTGTCCAATGAAGAGCAAAGAACAGAGGAAGCAAAGGAGAAGGGAGATGAGGAGGGTGTAAGTGAGGGTCCGGTTGTTGGCTTTCACTATGGGAGTGTCCTTGTACTTCACAAAAATTCCAAATACTGAACATGTGGTCAAAGAGAAAGAAATAGCCAAGGTAGCTAAGACGATCCCCAAATCTTCTTTATAAGAGAGGTATGTTACCAATTTTGCAATGCATTTAGTTTGGTCCTTGTTGGGATACTGGTCTTCTGGACATTTGACACAGGCATCCATATCTGAAAAATGGAAGAGGTGTTTTAATATTTTAAGCATTTAACACAAAAAATGCAACAATAGTTATATTTCCAGATGTCTAATTAACTATAGAAGTTAGTAACAATTCATCCTTTCAACTTCTTGCACTTTTTACCTGACAACAAAATAGTATCATCTCTTTCTCTCATTCAGTCTTTCCCGTTCTCTGTCTAAATGCCTGTGTTTTCTTTTAAAAAATATTTTTAAGAATTTTAATACAAACTATCTTCATAGATATTCAATGAATCTGTGTTCTCTGTATTACTGAGGTCAACTTGAGTGGTGAATGATAAAGGATGAAAAAGTTAATCACACCAGGCAGTGTAGAATGGAAGAGAACTTTGATCAGTATATTCTTTTTCATGATTGAAGTAGGCCTGAATGTCTGTTTTGGGGAGAGATTCCCTTTGCCTAGGTGGCTTATTATTTCTGCCTTCCACTATATTAATCCATGTTTAATATAGTGTTGATTGTTCTTTTTTATTATTATGCTGATATATTTTTTGAGCCGAAATGCATTCGTTGGTCTCCTGATGGTTTATTTAAAAGAAGTATTTTTACAAGGATGTTAGCCTCTCTCTTTGGGCACTACCCTCTCACCCACTGGAGCAAGTGAAGAATCTCATTTTCACTGTGAATATATCAATAATAAATATCTAAGCTTATTAATATCAATTGGTCTCTCAATACCCTTCCTGTCGGAGATCATCCCATCTGGACACAGAGCACAGTCATAGCAGCAAAATTTCTCTCCTTCCTTCTTTTTCCTGCTGGAGCCAGGATAGCAGCTGTCAGTGCACACAGAAGGAGGCAGAACCTATATAGAAACATGAAAGATGATCAGCAATAAGAGAGTTCTTTTCTTTGGAGTGGTGGATCTGCAAAGAGTGGGTAGATCTGACCCGATGCAGTGAAGGATTTGAGAGGACTGTCTCTCCACTGCTCCTTGGTTTAAATTCCCCACAGTCATGCCCTCTGTCAGTACTGATTGGTTAGCGTGGCCCGGCCTCTGAGTGGGGCCCCACCCAGCTCCACCGGTGTGGGCAAGAAGCGGTGAGGAGGGCGCCAGTTTCCATCCCCGACCAGATCATCTGCTGGGCCTGGGGCCCGGCTGTACCACTGCCCACCAAATAAAGTAAGCAGACTTGCTGGTACTGAAGAAAGTCATTAGACATGCCAGCAAATTTTCTCAATTTCAGTTTGGAATGGAATTTCAGAGACTTTTGAAGGCCTGCCTCAACAGTGAGGGAATTTTAGATCACAGAATCTGATGGAGGTGCCTTATCTGTCTTATCACATCGCACCACTCTGCTGAATAGTGAGGGTTGGCTTTATAATGGGGGGGGGGGGATAAGAAGTTGGGAAGATGTGTGCTTCTTTGTTTGTGCTGGTTTTCTCAACCAAAATAAAAAACAGATGAGTGGATACGTGCACAGCTGCCATATCCACAACTAAACATAATTACATTAGAGTATACATTTGAGTTTTATTATTAACAGAATGCAGGATAATCTTTGAACACTTTCCTGGTTCATTTATATATTGAAAGATATATAATAGTGAAAAAAGGGGGGGGGAATCATGAATTACTTTGAAAATATGAGTTAATCCTCATGAAGTAGAAGACTTTGAAATCCTCACTCTTTGATTAAATCAAAGAAAGAAATGGCGGAAGTATAAGAATTTAAAATAGCAGCAGCAACAAGAAAGAATGCTTCCAAACACAATTCAGTACCTTAAGAGATGACAGAATGCTGAATGGGCTTAAATGACATTTTCTTTGTTATATATCCAAACATTCCCCACAAGAGAAACTTGCAGATGATCTTGGAGAGAATGAGAGGAAATATCAAGGTGTAAACAGAATACCACTTTCTTCAGGGAAGAGAAACATATGGTAATTTATAAGTTCACTATATGTAGACTGTTTCTCACCAGCAACTGGACAGAGGTACAGATTACTTGTTCCCAGGTCTAGATAACTCTAGAATTATTATTATTATTATTATTATTATTATTATTATTATTATTATTAAATAATAGAGGGATGTTATTGTTTAGTTTCATTTTTGGTTTTTTAAAATGTATTTTGTGTTTTTGTATTTTTATTCTGCAAACTGTCCTGAGTTCTATGGATGAGGGGAGCTATACAAATTTAATAAAAGATAAATGATAATAATATTATGTCTTACCTGATTAAAGCTTTGGTGCCACACAATCTGGTCATAGTTCATGGTTAATTCATCACCTGAAGGAGCCTGAGATTCTAGCCTTCCAACTTTTACTCTGACCACTGAGCCATTGGGGAACATCATCCAGTTTGTAATATCAAAGCCTGCAACCAATTCTCTATTTTCATTAAAGTGGATAGTGTCTCCAACACTGTTATTGAATATGATGTTTCTTAGTAAATGATGAACCTAGATTCAAAATGAATATGAAGACAGGGGTAACTATGTTTTAAATGATTTCAATGAGATTCACAAAGCGCTATCTTACTACTATAATTTTTTACCATAGGAAAGCAATTTAGAGAGAGATCTGCTTTTTCAATGGGACTCTCCTCCCTCTACTGTCAGCTGCACCTCCTAAATCTGGAGGAGTCCTCAGAACAGATTTAAGAAAAAGCAGAGAGAGAAGCGGGGGAAGGAGGGAGATGACATTGTGCACACTCCAATTTAGCACTAGGTCCTCTCTACATTTGGGGACCTATCCACCAAGCTGTCATTTCCTTTCATTTGCTTTGATGTGAGTTTTTGATTGTGAATAATTTTGAAATGGACTACATCATAATGAGACCAGCGCTATTGATCAATATGGGTTCATAAAATACAACAAAAGAATCTGAGTGAATTTTTGTTTAATGGAGACATACAGAGCCTTAAATCTCTGCTTGTTTGCCTGCTTTTTAATAAATAAATAAATATTGGATTTTCATTCCTACCTAAGGACAGTTGCAAAATGAGAAATACCCCATTTCTAATAATGTTCTGTATTTGGAGCTGGACACACAGAACAAAAATAATCACCTGAAAAAAACTTTAGTAGACTCCTGCATGAAACAGTTCCTTTTACCTCTGTATTAAAAGCTAGCCTACTTTATCTAAAATAGAATTATCATTACCTGCCATGGTTGCATGTTCTGTAATAGCAATCTGTTCCTTTTATCCAAACTTCTACGCTTTGAGGTGGATTTGTAAATGGCTTGCAAACCATGTGCAACAGCATAGACAGCATTGTAGATACTGTAGCTGTGACCTGTCATTTTCATTTCAAATAATATTCCAGGAATGCTCTCCAGCTTTTCCTCTCCACTACAGGCACTCTCCTCATCCTCCATGAGCATTTTTAATGAACAGCTGAAGGCCTGTTCCCAGAAGTCCTGGATAAAACCATCTCCTTCGACCAGGAAGGATTTAATGTTTGAATGAATTCTTGGAATCCTAATGGCTGATCTGAGTGAACACTGAAGGATAAGGAGCCATGGAAAGTTTGCATTTCCCAATTCTTTTGAAGAGACATTGATGTGAAATCCCAGTGAGATGTAATAATCCATACTTTCTCGAGAGGAGGCAACTCAGTGAAGTGTGCTAGAAATAGCAACATTCTCAAAACTTGAAAAGATGGGTTTTCTCCATATACAAATATTGCATTGGCTTTCCCCTGCAATATAGTGGTTACAGAGTTTTTCACATGTTTCAGAAGCAACTGTATCATTTCATCCACATAACTCCATTGTGGTAGTCTAATTACGAATGCAGAACAGATGCCATTCTCAGAAAGCAAAGGCAGCATTGTCTGTAGAAATCTGTCCCCTTTGTCATTGTCCACAGCCAAGAGCCCAACCCATGTCCATCCAAAATGCTGAAATAACCGGACAGCTCCAATGTACTGGTGGGCTTCATTTGGGACCATATGGTACAAAAAAGGGAAAGTGATTCTCTCATCCCATGTTGGCAAAAATGTTCCATAAGTCACCTGAAGTAAAAATTAAAGGTATTATTTTCAGATGAGAAGAGCTATATTGTAGAATCATAGCAGTGGCACTGGTCACCTGGTCTTATTGCAATGCAACACTCCTTCCTTAGGCATATTCAAGTGCCTGGCATACATCTGCAGCCAATAAATTATTGTTGTTGTTGTTATAAATTTCATTTCTATACAGCTTTGTATTTTTTAAAAAATCTCAAAGCGGTTTATAGCATATTATATGGTACTTCATAGCCATATGGGTGTTTTATAGCTGGACCACCAACCAAAGATGTTGAATGGCACCCTATGCCATTGAGCCTTTAGTAACAACTATAAAACAAGGATGACTACTAAACTATGGACCCACCCTTTCAGAGAGAGAGTGGTCTCTCTCTAATGCGGTCTGCATATCAATCAGCTATATAGCATAACGACCTAGTAGCAGAAACACATTATTGTCTGAATTAATCTTTTCTTTTTTGGCCCTCATCCAGTCTATTATTGCAACCAGACAACAATTCAGCACACCCAGGACCCCACAGGAAAAATTTCATTTTATTCTTGCCTATGAACGTATTAGCCATTCTTTCCAAGTGGATGACACTGGATTCCTTCCAGCTCTTCATGTAAGTATTTGAAAAAAATGCTGAAATCTTCTTGGTGAAAGACAGAACCCTGTACCACACGACTCAAAACCTCACTTCATTTAAAGAGGAGAAACTGATAATCACTCCTTTAGTATCCTGTATCACCTTCTATCACCATCAAGCACTTAACCAATATTCTCACCAAATAATAAAAAGGAACTTTATGTAATGTGTTCCTGAAATCAGGAGGGTATATCACCACTGTGAAGTCTCCATACCTTTATGCACCAAACATACCTGTGGAATCTTCTTGCTTGCCAAAATCACTGCAATGTTAGCAGAGATCTCAGAGAAACATTCCCCAATGAGTGCTATCATATTGTTCTGGTTGTGACAGCTGAAGTTGGGGACAAATCTTTGTTCTGTGGAAATGAGGCTCAGAGTGGCCTTATAGGTCATCCTTGCGTTGAAGTAACTATTCAGGATATGGAAGCCAAGAGAGATATTTGACAAGATTGTGGGGTTCTCATTGATTTCTTTGGCAGCAAATGCTAAAGCCAGAATATGCTGGTAGTTCTTAGGCACTGAACTGTAATAAGGATTATAGCTGCTTATTAAAATGACTACAGCAATGAGAACAAAAATCTGTACTCTTCATCATAATCTGAAACCTTGTAAGGGACCATAGAAGACAATAGATTTTTTTAAAAAATGACATCTGAAGTAGACATTTTCCGCCTGAATAGTCATGTTATTTAAATGTGTTGGGATCATTCTGGAGGTTGACAAATCGTTCCACAGACCTATTCTCCACATTCCATTACATGCCCTCACTGGCAACAGCAAGAATCCAAAGTGTGTCTCTCTCTGTGTGTGTGCTTATCTTTATGCTAATTCCATACAAAATCAATCATAGTTGTTCATTTGAATTTAATGGACCAGACTAACTGGGGCTTAATGAGTTCAGGGAATCTAATTTAATGAATGTGTATTAGGGGTACTTGCTGCCTTTGAATGAAGCCTGCATATGAGGACAGATCATTAATAGAGATTCAAGAGATATTCAAGATCAATCAGGCTCCCTCCACATTGTTTCAAACCAAATCTAGGTCCTGCAAAACATCCTGCTAAATTTGTAGACAAAGGGGGTGATTGCCCCTGCCCCTGAATAATTTGCAAAATTTCTTCCCAAGTGTTTATAATTGGTTATTTATATGGTGGCTATAGGTCAAATTCTCAAATTACTTTCTACCCCCCACCTCACCCCACGATTTACAGTTGGAAGTTTGCAGGTTCCACTTTTCTCATGGAATAAAGTTAACAAATTATGGCAGCACAGCGTTGCATTATTGATATGTTTTCAGTTAATGTGGCCTGAACATACAATTACAGAGAGTAAAGAAATTATGACTTACATAGGTTCATCAATCAATGTCTGCATAGGCTGTTCCGTGAAAGAGAGGTTATTGTAGTGTAAGAACACCTGGGAAACAATCTCCCCAATGATTATATCACCTGGCTTAAAAAAGTTATGAGGAATAGGGAGGGGATCATCATATATGCTACAGTTAATGGAATGTGTCTTGGATGCAGTTTGACACAACAGTGCAAGCAGCAACATAACCACTAGCATGGTCCTTTTGAGAAAATATTGCTTCCAAACATAAGTTACCATGCTTCAGAATCAGCTGGTGGAAAACATACCTCAACATATAAAGGGTAACAGACCATACAGAAAATGACACACTCCTGCCTATGCCTGGATCCAGTTCTCAAAAACACAAGGTTTTATATCTTTTTTTTAAAAGATTTTGGTTGTGGAGCTTGCTAATTAGGTCTGTATGTCTATTGTGTTTAAAGGATTGAGACCAGTGATTTTGAGAAAGATAGCTGTAATTAGACTTTCCCCAAAGGGATGATGTCGTTTGAAGTTGAATTATGCTTGACAAAAACTATTAGGAATATTGTAAGTATTGTGTATAGTCCCTCTATCCAATCTGGGGCTGTGGATCAGTACTGACATGACCTGGAACAACCTGAGGAACACACAACTCAAATACAACCCTGAATCAATTTTGGGAGTGGAGCTAATAGTTAATTAGAATTTTTAAAGCCCACATAAACACACAGAGGAGTGGCAAGGCAAAGTGACATTTTCTCCTCCCAGATCAAACCACACTGAGGACAGGAGGGTTCTGAGCTATCTGTAAGCATACTATCTGAACAGATGTCATTTGCAAAGAACATCCATAGGATCAACTCTTCTTTTCACCAGCTGGTGAGCAGAGAAGTCAATTGTTATGGAGTCTGAGCAGCTTACTCTATTCTTCCCGCCTGACTCACATTTTGCATAATTTAAAGTCTGACCTTAAATCAGGGTTTGTCAAAGTTGTACCTGTGAGCTCATGAAAAGTTGTAATAAATAGCTCCTAAAATTATCCAGAATTCAAATATTCAGATTTCATAGGATGACAGAACTGGATACCCTCCATCCCATCTGTTCTGAACAGAGGAGAGATGCAGGGTGCTATTCTCTGTAGGTATTGAAATGGTTCCCACACACATTGATTGAGAGGAGGGGTATATATACTCTATTTTGTTCTCATCTCTCCATTTTTGTTGCTCTTTCAGAGGAGACAATAGAAGTTACCTACTTACTACTTCAGAGGGAGTGTTTAAGTGGTCTGAATGGGAAAAACAACATATCTTCCCAAAATAGAAAGCACAATACTCCAAAAATTTTAAAGATTGCTCCCAATGGCTCCAGATAAATGTGAAATGAGACGGGGGGGGGGAATGGTTTCCCACAGAACACCATCACATAAGTACCAGGGGGTTGGATAACACTTTCCCAGTATTACTCAATGAAGTCCGCCACACAGGAAAACAGCCACTTATTTGGCAATGCAGGTACCTACTCGACAAGCTATTTTTAATTCCAAATTTAAGTGTATTCAAATAATCAATGTAATTCAGAAACACATTAAGTTCTTCTCTCAGCACCCTCACTGTCACCGCCCCCCAAAAGAAATAATGGGAAGTGGCAAGCAGTGCCAAACACCATTTGGTCCAGAGTCAGCTTTTTAAGGATGGGTTGCATGACAGCTTCTTCAGTTGCAGGTTGCACCACCCTGTCATTCAGTGATATGTTCCCAACACCCTGGATATTCCCAGCTACCCCAATTCAGCTTGTTTAGTCAAGGAAGGTCAAAGGTCCAGAAGGCATGTGTTCAGATGCATCACTGCACGTATCCTTTCCACATTAGGCTGCATCATCTGGAAATGATCCATTAACTCTAGGCCAGGCACAGCACAGGAAACCTCAATGAGATTTGCAGAGATGTTTGCACCCTTGCTTGTAATCTCATAGGAACCATGAAAAGACTTTCTCTCCCCCCCCTTCAATATAAATATATAAAAAAGAGAGATGCACATTTAAATTTCATTTTATTTTCCTTGTGAGTTGTTCCCTGTTGTTCAGCTCAGGCTTCAGCACAATGATGTAGCATTTTGGGGAAAAGATGCAACTCAGTAATCCAGCACTGGAACATAAGATGGAGAAGATCTCCACAGCCACCGTGTATTTTCCTTTGGTGCTCAGGTAGGTTGGAATAAAGGATAACCACACACTGCAAAACACCAACATGCTGAAAGTGATGAATTTGGCCTCATTGAAGCTGTCAGGTAACTTCCTGGCTAGAAAAGCCACAATGAAGCTGATTATGGCCAGGGAACCCATATAGCACAAGACACAGTAAAACATGAAAACAGAACTCTCCTTACATTCCAGTATGATTTCACCTTTCACTGAATGTACGTCTCTACCTGGGAATGGAGGAGCAGAACTTAACCAAAGAGTACAAATGGCAGCCTGAATAAAAGAGCAGGAGAGAACAATAGAATTAGCCAGTCTTTTCCCCACCCATTTCCTCATCCTGGATCCTGGTTTTGTTCCCATAAATGCCACAACCACAGTGATGGTCTTTGCCAACACAGAAGAAAGGGCCACAGAGAAGACAATGCCAAAAGTGGTTTGACGTAGAAGGCAGGTTGCCTTTCCAGGTTGTCCAATGAAGAGCAAAGAACAGAGGAAGCAAAGGAGGAGGGAGATGAGGAGGATGTAGGTGAGGGTCCGGTTGTTGGCTTTCACTATGGGAGTGTCCTTGTGCTTCATAAAAATTCCAAGTACTGAACATGTGGTCAAAGAGAAAGAAATAGCCAAGGTAGCTAAGATGATCCCCAATTCTTCCTTATAAGAGAGATATGTTACCAATTTTGGAATGCATTTAGTTTGGTCCTTGTTGGGATACTGGTCTTCTGGACATTTGACACAGGCATCCATATCTGAAAAATGGAAGAGGTGTTTTAATATTTTAAGCATTTAACACAAAAAAATGCAGCAATAGTTATATTTCCAGATGTCTAGTTAACTATAGAAGTTAGTAGCAATTCATGCTTTCATCTTCTTGCACTTTTTACCTGACAACACAATAGTAACATCTCTTTTCCTCGATCACACTTTCCCATTCACTGTCTAAATGTTTCTCTGTGTTTTCTTTTTAAAAATATTTTTAAGAATCTTTAATACAAACTATCTTCATAGATATTCAATGAATCTATGTTCTCTGTATTAATGAGGTCAACTTGGGTGGTGAATGATAAAGGATGAAAAAGTTAATCACACCAGGCAGTATAGAATGGAAGAGAACTTTGATCAGTATATTCTTTTTCATGATTGAAGTAGGCCTGAATGTCTGTTTTGGGGGGAGATTCCCTTTGCCTAGATGGCTTATTATTTCTGCCTTCCACTGTATTAATCCATGTTTAATATATTGTTGATTGTTCTTTTTTATTATTATGCTGATATATTTCTTGAGCCGAAATGCATTCGCTGGTCTCCTGATGATTTTAATCTCTCTCTTTGGGCACTATCCTCTCACCCACTGGAGCAAGTGAAGAATCTCATTTTCACTGTGAATATATCAATAATAAATACCTAAGCTTATTAATATCAATTGGTCTCTCAATACCCTTCCTGTCGGAGATCATCCCATCTGGACACAGAGCACAGTCATAGCAGCAAAATTTCTCTCCTTCCTTCTTTTTCCTGCTAGAGCCCGGATAGCAGCTGTCAGTGCACACAGAACGAGGCAGAACCTATATAGAAACATGAAAGATGATCAGCAATACGAGTGTTCTTTTCTTTAGAGTGGCAGATTTGCAAAGAGTCTGTTGATCTGACCCAATCTGGCGAAAGGCATGAGAGGACTGTCTCTCCATGGTGCCATGGTTTAAATTTCCTACAGTCATGCCTTCCTTTGGCACTGATTAGTTAGTGGGGCCCAGCCTCTGAGAGGGGTCCCACTCAGCTCCACTGATGGGGCGATGCATCAGTGAGGAGGGTGTAAGTCTCCGCACCTGGTCGGATCACTTGCTGGGCCTGGGGCCTGGCTGCAACTCCACACACCAAATAAGGTGAGCAGACTTGCTGGCACTGAACGAAGTCATTTGACATGCCATAAATTTTCTCAATTTCAGTCTGGAATGGAATTTCAGAGACTTTTGAAGGCCTGCCTCAACAGTGAGGGAATGTCAAATCACAGAATCTGATGGAGGTGCCTTATCTGTCTTATCACATCGCACCGCTTTGCTGAATAGTGAGGGTAGGCTTTATATTCAAGGGGGGGGGGATTAGAAGATGGGAAGATGTGTTTTTTCCATTTGAGCTTGTTTTCTCCTCTAAATATATAATTTTAAAACAAAATCAAGAGCATATGAACGAATCTGTTCACAGCTGCTATATTCACAACTAAACATGCCGGTAATTACATTTGAGTATACATTAGAGTTTTATGACTGACAGTAATGGTACAACTCTGGAAGTGACCATTTAAGTTATATCTGCCCTCATTCCCAGGATGTAAAAATAACCAGGAAGGGTTTTAAGTCCCTTTGAAGATAAGACCTGGTTAATGATGTAACAAGTGATTCTGTGACTTTTTTGAAGTCATGATAATTTTTGAACAGTTTCCTGGTTTATTCATTTATTTAAAGATATGCAAGCATGAACTCAAAAAACCCCACATGAACTGCTTTGAAAATATAGATTAATCCTCATAAAGAAGGAATTTAAAATAGCAGCAGCAGCAGCAAAAAAGAAAAAGAAGAAAAAAAGAATGCTGTCAAACGCAATTCAGTACCTTAAGAGATGACAGAATGCTCAATTGGCTTAATTGACATTTTCTTTCTTAAATATCCAAACATTCCCCACAAGAGAAACTTGCAGATGATCTTGGAGAGAATGCAAGGACATATCAAGGTGTAAGCAGAATACCCCTTTCTTAAGGGAAGAGATACATATGGTAATTTACAAGTTCACTATATGTAGATTTTGTCTCACCAGCAACTGGACATAGCTACAGATTACTTTTACACAGTTCAAAATAATTACATAATTATTATTATATAATAATAGAAAGGGGTGTTATTGTTAGTTTTTTGTTTTATTATCAATTTTGTGTATTTATCTTGTATTTTTATTCTGCAAACTGTCCTGAGTTCTATGGATGAGGGGAGCTATACAAATTTAATAACAGGTTAATGATAATAATATTATGTCTTACCTGATTAAAGCTTTGATGCCACACAATCTGGTCATAATTCATGGTTAATTCATCACCTGAAGGAGCCTGAGATTCTAGCCTTCCAACTTTTACTCTGACCACTGAGCCATTGGGGAACATCATCCAGTTTGTAATATCAAAGCCTGCAACTAATTCTCTATTTTCATTAAAGTGGATCGTGTCTCCAACACTGTTATTGAATATGATGTTTCTTAGTAAATGATGAACCTAGATTCAAAATGAATATGAAAAATAGGATAACTATGTTTTAAATTATTTCAATGACATTCACAAAGAGCTATCTTACAGCTACTATTTTTTACCGTAGGAAAGTAATTGAGAGAGAGATCTGCTTTTGCAATGGGACCATCTTCACTCAGCTGCACCTCCTAAATTTTCTCTGGAGGGTTGTTTCATGGTATTGATGGAGAATGAAGGGGAAGAGGAGAGACAGGCAGAGGAAGGGGGGCAGGAAGTGACGGTGGAGGAAAGAAGGGAAAGTGAGGAGGAACGACTCACAGATGTTGGAACAGAGCCTCAACACCGCACAGGAAGCTCTGGCATGGACAGTGAAGCAATGTCTGTTCCAGCTGCCCAGGAAAGGAGAGTGTTAAAGAGGAGGGGACAGAGACATTACATGAGAATTTCACGCCTTTTCTACTGGAGAAGGGGTGGCCGTAAGGCACTCCAAGAATCTGAGCCGGAGGATTCAGATGCATGATTATGTGTGCTGCTTGTACATATGTAAAATAAAGGATGTATATATGTATCTCTGAGTTAGCAGAGGCATTTCTTGCGGAGAGCGCTCACAAGCCATCACAGGTTGGAGGAGTCTGTCAAACAGGTTTACATAAAATGCAGAGAGAGAAGAGGGGGTAGGAGGGAGATGACCTTGTGCACACTCCAATTTAGCACTAGGTTGAATTCCTCTCTACATGTGGAGACCTATCCACCAAGCTGTCATTTCCTTTCATTTGCTTTGATGTGAGTTTCTTATTGCAAATAATTTTGAAATGGATTACATCATTATGAGAGCAACACTATTGATCAATACGGGTTCATAAAATACAACAAAAGAATCTGAGTGAATTTTTGTTTAATGGAGACATATGGAGCTGTTAATCTCTGCTTGTTTGCCTGCTTTCTAATAAATAAATAAATAAATAAGTAAATATTGGATTTTCATTCCTACCTAAAGACAGTTGCAAATCCAGAAATACCCACTTCCAAATAACGTTCTATAATTGGAGCTGGATTAACATATACAAGAACAATAACATGAAAACAACTTTAGTACACTGTTTCCTGAAACAGTTCCTTTTACCTCTGTATTAAAAGCTAGCTTACCTTTTAAAAAACAATCAAACACTGAATTATCATTACCTGCCATGGTTGCACATTCTGTAATAACAATCTGTTCCTTTTATCCAAACTTCTACGCCTTGAGGTGGATTTGTACATGGCTTGCAAAGCATGTGCAACAGCATAGACAGCATTGTAGATACTGTAGCTGTGACCTGTCATTTTCATTTCAAATAATATTCCAGGAATGCTCTCCAGCTTTTCCTCTCCAGTACAGGCACTCTCCTCATCCTCCATGAGCATTTTTAATGAACAGCTGAAGGCCTGTTCCCAGAAGTCCTGGATAAAACCATCTCCCTTCGACCAGGAAGGATTTAATGTTTGAATGAATTCTTGGAATCCTAATGGCTGATCTGAGTGAACACTGAAGGATAAGGAGCCATGGAAAGTTTGCATTTCCCAATTCTTTTGAAGAGACATTGATGTGAAATCCCAGTGAGATGTAATAATCCATACTTTCTCCAGAGGAGGCAACTCAGTGAAATGTGCTAGAAATAGCAATATTCTCAAAACTCGAAAGGATGGGTTTTCTCCATGTACAAAAAATGTGTTGGCTTTTTTTTGAATGATAATTGCATAACTGTTCCAGTGTTGTAGAAGCAACTGTATGAGCTCTTCTACGTAACTCCATCGTGGTAATCTTATAATAAAAGCATAGCAGATGTCATTCTCAGAAAGCAAAGGCAGCATTGTTTGTAGGAATCTGTCCCCTTTGTCATTGTCCACAGCTGAGAGCCCAACCCATGTCCATCCAAAATGCTGAAATAACCGGACAGCTCCCATGTACTGGTGGGCTTCGTTTGGGACCATGTGGTACAAAAAAGGGGAAATTATTCTCTCATCCTGTGATGGCAAAAATGTTCCATAAGTGAGCTGAAATAAAAATTAAAGGGATTATTTTCAGGTGAGGAAAACAGCTACATTGTAGAATCATAGCACTGGCACTGGTCACCTGGTCTTATTGTAATGAAATACTCCTTCCTTAGGCATATAAGTGTGACTGATCTACAACTGTAGCCAGGTGCTCTATAGCCATATGGGTTTTTATAGCTGGACCACTAACCAAAACTGTTGAATGGCACTCTTCAGTACCTATGCCACTGAGCCTTTAGTAACAACAATGGATTAATAAAATATTATTATTATTATTATTATTAATAAATTTCTGCCCCGCCCATCTGTCTGGGTTTCCCCAGCTACTTTGGGCGGCTTTCAACTGAACATTAAAAACAGAATAAAACTTCAAACAGGGTTGCCTTCAGATGTCTTCTAAAAGCCTGATAGTTGTTTATTTCCTTGACATCTGATGGAAGGGTGTTCCACAGGGAAGGCGCCACTACTGAGAAGTCCCTCTGTCTGGTTATGTGGTCATGTTATATGGGATCAATTTCAATCTGTTACCTCCGAGGATGTGGACAGGCTGCTTTGATGAGTGAAAGCAGCCACCTGTCTCCTTGATCCTTGTCCATCCTGGTTGATAAAAGCAAGCCAGGAAGGGCTGGGTGATGGGCTCTGTGGGGTGGTGAATGCTTCCCTCTGTGAGGGAGCCTTCCCAGACCCGCTGAAAGAGGCAGTCATTAAACTGCTTCTTAAAAAAAATCTTTAGACCCGGCCAATATGGCCAACTATTGCCCAGTCTCAAATCTTCCATTCTTGGGCAAGGTGATTGAGCGGGTGGTTGCTGAACAACTCCAAGCATGCCTGGAGGATGCGGACCATTTGGATCCCTTCCAATCAGGATTCAGGGACAAAGGTTGAAGCTGTTTCCTATTTCTGCTGTATATCTCAACGGCTTTTGAGACCGTTGATCATGACATCCTTTGGACCGTCTAGAGGGGCTGGGAGCTCTGGGCACAGTTATACAGTGGTTCCGTTCCTTTCTCCTGGGCCGTGTCCAGAAAGTGGTGTTGGGGGATGAGTGTTCAGACCCTAGGGCTCTCACTTGTGGGGTGCCTCAGGGTTCCATCCTTTCCCCCATGCTTTTTAATATCTATATGAAGTTCATGAGAAAGGAGCGGAACCACTGTATAAACAGTGCCCCCCGGCTCCCAGCTCCTCAAGACGGTCCAGAAGGATGTCATGATCGATGGTCTCAAAAGCCGTTGAGATATACAGCAGAAATAGGAAACAGCTTCAACATTTGTCCCTAGCCTGCAAGAGATCATCAACCAGCGCAACCGAGGCAATTTCAGTCCCATGATGAGGCCTGAATCATGATCAAGGATGAGCACCAAACAATGGGCCGCCATCCATCCTCCAATCACCTACAGGCACTCACACAGGACCTTCCCCACCTTTACTGGTTTTGATTTAAAAGAGAGGTAGAGCTTGGTATCATCTGCATACTGATGAACACTCAGCCCAAACCCCCTGATTATCTCTCCCAGTGACTTCATATAGATATTAAAAAGCATGGGGGAGAGGATGGAACCCTGAGGCACCCCACAAGTGAGAGCCCAGGGGTCTGAACACTCATCCCCCAACACCACTGTCTGGACACAGCCCAGGAGAAAGGAGCGGAACCAATGTATAACAGTGCCCCCAGTTCCCAGCCCCTCTAGACGGTCCAGAAGGATGTTATAGTCGATGGTGTCAAAGGCCGCTGAGAGATCCAGCAGAACTAGGAAACAGCTTCCATCTTTGTCCCTAGCTGCAGGAGATCATCAACCAGTGCAACCAAGGCAGTTTCAGTCCCATGGCGAGGCCTGAATCCTGATCAAGGATGAGCACCAAACAATGGGCCCACTCTTTCAGAGGCAGAGTTGTGTCTCTTTAAGAGTGGGCTGCATATCAATCAGCCATACAACATGCCCACCTAGTAGCAGAAACACATTCTTGTCTGAATTAATCTTTTCTTTTTTGGCCCTCATCCAGTCTATTATTGCAACCAGATAACAATTCAGCAAATCCAATACTTCACCAGCAGAATTTCAATTTTATTCTTGCCTACTGAGGTCTTAACCATTCTCCCCTAGTGGATGACATTGGGATTCCTTCCATTTCTTCATGTAAGTATTTGAAGAAAAAGCTGAAGTCTTCTTGGTGCAAGAGAGAACCCTGCACCACACACCTCAAAACCTCACTTCATTTAAAGAGGAGAAATTGATAATCACTCCTTTAGAATCCTGTTGTATTGTACTATAAGTCCACCTATTGGTATCACCATCAAGTATTTAACCAATTTTGTCACCAAATCATCAAAAGAAACTTTACGTAATGTGTTCTTGAAATCAGGAGGGCATATCACAATTGCGAAATCTCCATGCCTTCATGCACTAAACATACCTGAGGAGTCTTCTTGCTTGCCAAAATCACTGCAATGTTAGCAGAGATCTCAGAGAAACATTCTCCAATGAGTGCTATCATATTGTTTTGGTTGTGACAGCTGAAGTTGGGGACAAATCTTTGTTCTGTGGAAAGGAGGCTCAGAGTGGCCTTGTAGGTCATCTTTGCATTGAAGTAACTATTGAGGATGTGAAAGCCAAGAGAGATGTTTGGCAAGATTGTGGGATTCTCATTGATCTCTTTGACAGCAAATGCTAGAGCCAGAATATGCTGGTAGTTCTTAGGCACTGAACTGTAATAAGGATTGCAGCTGTTTAACAAAATGACCGCAGCAATGACAACAAGGATCTGCTATCTTCATCATCACCTTAATCCTTGCAAGGCTGAGGCAAAACATGGGATCATAGAAGACAATAGATTTTTTTTAAAAAAAAATGACATCTGAAGTAGACATATTCCCCCTGAATAGCCATGTTCTTTAAATGCGTTGGGATCATTCTGAATGTTAATATATTGTTCCACAAACCTACTCTCCATATTCAATCACATGCCCTCATTGGCAACCACAACAATCCAAAGTGTCTCTCTATGTGTGCTTATCTTCATGCTGATTCCATACAAAATCAGCCATAGTAGGTCATTTGAAATTAATGGACATGACTAACTGGGGCTTAATGAGTTCAGGGAATCTAACTTAATGTATGTATATTTGAGGTATGTGCTGCATTTGAATGAAGCCTGGATATGAGGCCAGATCATTAATATAGATTCAAGAGATATCCAAGATGAATCAGGCTCCCTCCACATTGTTCCAAACCAAACCTAGTTTGTGTAAAACATTCTGCTAAATTTGGGGTCAAAGAGGGTGATTGCCACTGCCTCTGAAATATTTGCAACATTTCTTCCCAAGTGTTTATAATTGATTATTTGTATGGTGGCTATAGGCCAAATTCTCAAATTACTTTCTACCCCCCACCTCATCCCATGATTTACAGTTGGAAGTTTGCAGGTTCCCCTTTTCTCATGGAATAAAGTTAACAACATCTTACAGCACAGCATTGCATTATAGATATGTTCTCAGTTAGTGTGACCTGAACATAGAATGAGAGTAAAGAAATTATGACTTACATAGGTTCATCAATCAATGTCTGCATAGGCTGTTCCGTGAAAGAGAGGTTATCGTAATTTAAGAACACTTGGGAAACAATCTCCCCAATGATTATTTCACCTGGCTTATAAAAGTTATGAGGAATAGGGAGAGGATCATCATATATGCTGCAGTTAATGGAATGTGTTTTGGATGCAGTTTGACACAACAGTGCAAGCAGCAACACGACCGCCAGCATGATCCTGGTGAGAAAATTTTGCCTTCCAAAATAGGTTACCATGTTTCAGAATCAGCTGGTGGAAAACATACCCGAACATAAAAAGGGGAACAGACTAATCAGAAACTGACACAGTCTTGCCTATGCCCGGATCCATTTCTCAAAAACACAAGGTTTTATATCCTTTTTTAGATTTTGGTTGTGGTGCTTGCTAATGGCATATCTCTTGTCTATTTTGTTAAGAGAACTGAGACCAGTGATTTTGAGAGAGATAGCTGTGATTAGACTTTCCCCAAAGGGATAGTGTCATTTGAAGTTGAATCATGCTTGACAAAAACTACTAGGAGATTGGTAAGCATTGTATATAGCCCCACTACCCAATCTGAGGCTGTGGATCAGTACTGACATGACCTGGAACAACCTGGGGAACACACAACCCAAATACAACCCTGAATCAAATTTACTAGTAAATTTGAATTTTAAAGCCTACATAAAGCCACAGAGGAGTGGCAGGGGGAAAGGCAACATGACATTTCCTCCTCCCACATCCGACCATACTGAAAATAGAAGGGTTCTGTGCTATCTGTAAGCATACTATCTGAGCGGATGTCATTTGCAAAGGAAGACCCAGCAGCTCACAGTATCGACTCTTTTTTCCCACCAGCTAGTGAGCAGCGAAGTCAATTGTTCTGGGGTCTGGGCAGTTTCCTCTATTCTTCCCACCTCACTCACAGTTTGCATAAATTTAAGGTCTGACCTTAAATCAGGGGTTGCCAAAGTGGTACCTGTGAGTTCATGAAAAGTTGTAATAGCTCCTAAAATAATCCAGAATTCAAATATTCTCTAAAAAGAAATCTGCTGCTCAGTCCCTGTTTAAACAGGTACAACCTCTACTTCACTGATAATGCCACTTTTAATGTCCACATTTCAAAGAATGACAGAGCTGGACACCCACCATCCCATCTGTTCTGAACAGAGGATAGACGCAGAGAGCTATTCTACGTAGGTATTGAAATGGTTCCTAAGCACATTGATTGAGAGGAGGGGTATACGTGCACTATTTTGTTGCCATCTCTCTCCATTTTTGATTTTTGAAGTTATGTTATACCCTCACTGCAGCCACTTTTTTTAAAAAAGCCTCACACTATGGCAGCCATTTTTTTAATGCCACACACACCAACCATTTTGTAACTTCTAGCTTCTTAGGGAAAGCAGGTACTCCTAGCCAAAGAAAACTAATGACCAAAAAATGTATCAAAGAGTTACCTACTTACTACTTCAGAGGGAGTGTTTAAGTGGTCTGAAAGGGAAAAACAACATATCTTCCCAAAATAGAAAGCACAATACTCCAAAAATTTTAAAGATTGCTCCCAATGGCTCCAGATAAATGTCTAATGACACTGGGGGCAAAAGGGTTTCCCACAGAACCCCATCACATACCAGGGGGGTTGGATAACACTTTCCCAGTATTACTCAATGAAGTCCGCCACACAGGAAAACAGCCACTTATTTGGCAATGCAGGTACCTACTCGACAAGCCATTTTAAAATCCAGATTTAAGTGTATTTAAATAAAAAATGTAATTCAGAAACACATTAAGTTATTTTCCCAGCATCCTCTCAATCACTGCCCCCCAAAAGGAATAGTGGGAAGTGGCAAGCAGATGTTAAACACCATTTGGTCCAGAGTCAGTTTTAAGGATGGGTTGCATCACCACTTCTTCAGTTGCAGGTTGCACTACCCTATAATTCAGTGATGTGTTCCCAACACCCTGGATGTACCCAGCTACCCCACTTCAGCTTGTTTAGTCAAAGGTCCAGAAGGCATGTGTTCAGATGTATCACTGCATGTATCCTTTCC